TAGCTAATGGTGACCACTGCAATTTAGCCCATGGGTTAGTGTGATCTCAGGAAGTGAATTCATTGGTTGGATTGTTGTGTTTTAGTAGGGATTACCTTTATATCCTGCCTTGGGATGGACTTTCAGTACATAGAGATACTTTGCATTTGGAAAAGAAAGAATGTAAAAGCTAATAAACCCTGCTTTTCTAGTATCATGGGATGAAGCTCATGGTATTTACTGGTTCAACCTCTTCCTCATCAGTACTCAATGTGCTCAAAGTAAAACAATGAAAGTATTCAACTGAAACTTGCCAGGCAAGGAGTTTAACTCCAGTATTTCTGATTTTTGTTTTGTTTTGTTTTTAAACTAGAGGAATTTGTGATCCCTCTGGATCCCCGGTGGAATATGCAGGCTCTAGACCTGATTAGAAATTCGATGGACTTTGACCCAAAAACAGACCAGCCTGACCAGCTCTTTGCCCTTTTAGAATCAGCTGCAAACAAGTAGGTGAAACCTGCTGCTCTGTGCACTGTTTGCCTCACCAGCTTCTCAGATTATACCATTCTACGAATCTGTCAAGTATAGCTTACATGTGTTGAATTTTATGAACCTGAGAAGTTTTGGGTTGTGGAGATGATTGCCTTTATCATACAATAGTCATATTTCTACTGTTTTCTGTTTTGTTTTATTTTTTAGAGATGGAGTTTTGCTCTTGTTGCCCAGGCTGGAGTGCTGTGGTGTGATCTTGGCTCACTGCAACTTCTGCCTCCCAGGTTCAAGTGATTCTACTGCCTCAGACTCCCATGTAGCTGGGATTACAGGCATGCGCTACCATGCCTAGCTAATTTTGTATTTTTAGTAGAGAGGGGTTTCTCCATGTTGGTCAGGCTGGTCTCGAACTCCTGACCTCAGGTGATTCGCCCACCTCAGCCTCACAAAGTGCTGGGATTACAGGCGTGAGCCACCGTGCCCAGCTGTTTTCTGTTTTTGTTTTGCTTTTCAGATAGGGTCTATCTCTGTCACTGAGGCTGGAGTGCAGTGGCACAGTCTTGGATCACTGCAGCCTTTGCCTCCTGAGCTTAAGCCATCCTCCCACCTGAGCCTCTCAAGTAGCTGGGACTACAGGTACATACCATGACACCTGGCTAATTTTTGTATTTTTTTTGTAGAGACAGGGTTTTGCCATGTTGCCTAGGCTGCTCTTGAACCCCTGAGTTCAAGTGGTCCACCTGCCTTGGCCTCCCAAAGTGCTGGGATTGTAGGTGTGAGCCATTGCACCTAGCCTGGTTTTTGTTTGATTCTCAGCAGCTCTTTCCCTTTTTTCCTACTTGTTTTTACGTGTCTCTTAGCCATCTCTCTGTCCACATCATTTCTTGTCCTCTAATGTTGGAGATATAATAGCATCCCCATACTTATGTACACACTCACATATGAATTTACATAATTTTCAAAGTGAATCCACAAGTGTAGTGTATACCTCAGAGGTTGGCTTGCAAGCTGCCAGCCCCCTACTCCCCTGCTCCCCCAACTCCTCTTTCTACTGTGGCCACTTTGAAGAGTTCACAGCTCAGTTTGTCAGGTTGTAGCAGACCAAGACCTGGCAGTCTGCCTAGACCCAGCTTTCTCCATCCATCCATCCTCTTTCCTTTCACCTTAGTATTTGTCACTTTCACCGCCATCTCTTTAGTCCAAGATTTGCAGAGGCAGGAGAGGAATGGCAGGATGAAGGATGCTGATATTCCAAGTTTTCCATCAGATGGAAGATATGATTGAAAATGTTTTTAACTGATAACTATTTGTTATGTTTTTTGAATCTCATTCCAGGACAATCATATATCTTAACCGGGAAAAACGGGTTTTTACTGAAGCAAAATTGGTTTCTGTTGGTAGCAAAAAGCTAAGAGATAGTGTTTTGAGAATGTCCTTTGAATTCCATCAAGGTAAGAACATTTACCTTTTGTGTTCTCTAATTTTAAGCATCTGATTGCATAATGTTGCTAAAGTTGAGAGGCATATTCAGCAGCTGCTGCTGTTTACTGATTTCTTTTCATCTGCTGGCCTGATTTTAAACATGTTCCCTTACCCAGTATTAATGACTAACATTTAGTGAGCACTTACTTTGTGCCAGGGCTTAGCTAAATGCTTTTTACATGTCCATGATCTCATTTACTTTTTATAGCCACCTGTGAGACAGGTCCCATGTTATCAGTGAGGAAAGGGAGACATGGAGATGCTCAAAGTCACATGTCTAGCAAGTAGCACAGCCACTTGAAAACCAGATCTGTCCGCTAAAAAAAAATAACATTCATAAGCATTTCTTATAGGAGGAAGCATTTCTCGCATCTTTATTTTGTTTTTAATTGAAAAAATAGTTGTGCTTGTTGGAAAAAATTCAAACTATTAAAGTATAAACATTGAAAAAGTTCATCTTTACATCGGCTACTGTTAGTAACAATTTCATTTATATTTTCTCATATCCATCTAAACATATGTACTTAATTTTCATTTTGTACTTAAACACTTGCATAAATACATTTTTGCTTTATAATCTGCATTTGTCAGTGAGACATTATTTACATCTGTAGTTAAACATGCCTCATTTGCCAAGTTTAATAATATAGATTGAATATCCCTAATATAAAAATTCGAAACCTGAAATCCTCCAAAATCAGGAACTTTTTGAGCACTGACATGATGTCACAAATGGAAAATTTTATACCTGACCTCATGTAATAAGCCATGGTCAAAATACAGTCCAAACTTTGTTTCATGCACAAAATTATTAAAAATATTGTAAAATATAAAATTTGGACTATGTATTTCCCCAAGATACCTCATTATGTATGTGCAGAGATTCCAAAATCAAAAAAAATCCAAAATCTGAAACACTTCTGATCCTAAGCATTTCACATAAGAGACACTCAACCTGTAGGAGGCAAAGAATTTGGTTTGGTTTTGCTCTTTCAAAATTGACCTTTGTACTGGGGATAACATTTAAGTTCTAGATTATAGTGTATTTTGAAAATGTCCAGAGATTATTTTAAATCTGATGAAATGTTCTTATTTATGTTGACTCAGATCCAGAGAGCTATCACACTCTGCCCCATGAAATTGTGGTCAATCTTGCTGCTTTTTTTGAACTTTGTGATGCACTAATCCTGCTCTGGGTACAGTCCTCCCAGGGAGTGGTGTCTGATGCCAGTGTCAATGAAGTAAGGAACTACACCTTGTTTTATTTTAAACAACAAAATTTGTCTTTGTTGGCATAAAGATTCTTAGGGGTAAGAATAACTTCAGTGTTACTGTATGCCCAGTATTACTTACGAAATTTATTCTTAACAGTTTTAAATATACCTATGCACATATTTAAAGTCTTATTGGGGTATAATTTACATATTATAAACTGCACATATTCAAAGCGTGTAAGTTTTAACATGTATGCACCTGCGAAACTATTAACACAATCAAGAATAATGAACATATCCATCACCCCAAAAAGTTTCCTCATTCGCTTTTTGTATTTTCTTCTTTCCTTCTCCTGCCCAACAGCCAGGTAGCTGTTGATATGCTTTCTGTTACTGTGGATCAGTTATATTTTCTTCAGGTGGAATTATACAGTATTTTTTTTTGTTTATCTTCTTTCACTCACCATTGTGATTTGGAGATACACTCACGTATTCCTCTTTATTGCTGAGGAGTGTTCCATTGTATGGATCTACAGTTTTTTTATTGATTCACCTATTGATAGATTGTATCAGTTACATTTTAATCCGCTTAAGTCCTCCTAGACATTATTGTCACATGTGGGTTAAATGGAGTTTTTAATCCATATTATTCTAGTAAGTCTAATAAAGTATAACAGCCAATCTTAAACTTTTTGATCTCTGCCTCTATATTCTTAAAGGTTCTCAAAAATCCAAAAGATGCTACATCTGTCAGTTTTTACCATATTAACTAAATCTGAAAAATGTTAAAAAAAAAAAAAAACCCATAAATTTGCTTAAAATACAATAGCAAACTTTCATGTTAATATGGATAACTTATTTTTAATAAAAAAAATAGCAATTTCTAAAATAAAAATTGAAAAGTGCAGAACTGTTTTACATTCCTGCAAGCGTCTGTAGATCTGGCTTGTGAGAAGATGGATTCTTGTAGTATGTTGTTTGGAATAAAGTTTGTGAAGAAAAGCTGGCCTCCATAGTTAGGTTGGAAAGGAGAAGAATATGTTAGTAACCATTCCATATAATTTTGAATATTTTTATTTGATGACACAGCAAAAATGACAGGTAGTTTTGTAAAGGTTATTTGCGATGGGCAATCTGAGCAAATAATCACTGAACTTCTCCTGTTAAAATTCATTGGACTATTTTGCACCTTGTATGGATTTTGACCCTGCATGAGTCTATAGCTCATGCATAGATAACTTGGAAAATATTGTTTACTGAGTTGACACATTTCATCCTTCAATATAAATAAATAAAAAAGTCATACCTGTGAAAATCACAAATCTCATCAGAAAAATCGTTACCAGGAAGTTGTCAAACTCTGTTTTCCAATTTTGTGTGTGTGTGTGTGTGTGTGTGTGTGTGAAAGAGTCTCCCTCTGTCACCCATGCTGGAATGCAATGGTGCAGTCTTGGCTCACTGCAACCTCTTCCTCCTGGGTTCTAACAGTGATTCTCCTGCCTTAGTCTCCTGAATAGCTGGGACTACAGGCATGCACCATCACACCTGGCTAATTTTTATATTTTTAGTAGAGATGGGATTTCACTTTCTTGGTCAAGCTGGTCTTGAACTCCTGACCTCAGATGATCCACCTGCCTCAGCTTCCCAAAGTGCAGGGATTATAGGCATGAGCCAGTGCCCCAGCCTCTAAATTGTTTCTTTTGAAGTAACAGTTTCACATCATTCATTTTCAATGCAATGTCTGTCAAATAGTCATAATTTGCTTGTCAGTCCTTTTTTTGTATCATTAGTGTAAATGTCATTGTAGTGAAAATGGCAAATAACATGATATTATGAAAATAGCTTTGACCTTGTGGACTATGGAAGGAAATCACTAATCTAGAAACAGTGTTACTGTAAAAATAAATTATTCAAAGGGCCATGTTGGAGTCTCAGATACCTGCTTTGCATTGCAATCCTGTATTAAAACCGTATGGTATTGTCTAAGGATAGACATTTAGATCAATGAAACAAAATAGAGGATTCACAGATAGACCCCTCTCCCATACATGGTCAGTTATTTTTGTTTTGTTTTTTGTTAAATATGCAAAGGTAATTTAATAGCAAAAATGGTCAATTCAGTAACTGATGATGGAACAATTAGATGTCCATATAAAGTAAAATGAGCCTTTACCCTTATGTCACATTATCTGTAGTTACCTCAACATAGATGAGACCTTTAAAAAAAGAACTAACATTACAAACTGGCTAAAAGAAAACTTAGGAAAAAATCTTTACAACCTAAGTATAGGCAAATATTTTTTTAGGATTCTCTGTAAATGAAAGATATTGATAAATTGATTTCATCAAAATTTAAAACTTCTATTCTTCATAGCTACCTTTATAAACGTACTTGGAAAAAATGAATATACTGGGAAAAACTGTTAACAAAACACGTAAATTCCATAAACTAGCTATGCTAATACAATCCAGTTTTTTTTTGTTGTTCTTTTTGGGATGGAGTCTTGCTCTGTTGCCAGGCTGGAGTGCAGTGGCATGATCTCAGCTCACTGCAACCTCCGCCTCCTGGGTTCAAGCAATTCTGCCTCAGTCTCCTGAATAACTGGGACTACAGGCAACCACCACCATGTCCAGCTAATTTTTGTATTTTTAGTAGAGATAGAGTTTCACCATGTTGTCTCAATCTCTTGACCTTGTGATCTGCCCGCTCGGCTTCCCAAAGTGCTGGGATTACAGGCATGAGCCACCTCGCCTCACCACAACCCAGTTTTAAAATGAGCGAGACATTTGAATAGAATGTCTTCTCAGAAGTTATAAGAATGCCTAGTAAGCACTTTAAAAATTGCAGTGCCATCAGTTATCAAAGAAATGTAACTTGAAACGACAGTGAGATACCATCCACAAGAATAGAAATAAAAATGAAACTAAAGTTAAAATCATTAACAGCCAGTATTGGCAAAAAAAATGGAGCAACTGAAACTCTTCCACCCTTCCAGTTGGAGTACAAAATGGTATAGCTGCTTTAATACAGTTAGTAGTTTCTTATAAGATGACCTACACTTTGACCCAATAATTCTATTTTCTCTAATAACTTTCTGCTTCAAATGCTGAAAGATCTTTGCCTCCTCTCTCTGCCTTAATGTTCCTACATATATTCCAGTTTAGCCTTAGACTTTTTGTGTATGTATGTTGAGCATTGATTAACAATTATACTCTACCTTGTGTGTCTTTTCCCAGAAGATGTTTGTGAGCAGTCTTGATTTACGTTGTTTTTCTTTTTCTTCTTTTTTTAGTCATTCCTCTTGCTGTCTTATCTAAGAGACTTTGTTTTTAGATCTTAGGTTCTCTGCAGTGGCGGGACCGGTTTTGGACTGTAGCCGACACAGTTAAAGTAGATGCCCCAGGTCTGGCGCTTCTTGCCCTCCATTGGCACTGGGTTTTAAAACATCTGGTCCACCAGATCCCCCAACTTCTGATGAATCACGAAGACAAGTAAGATTCATATTGCGAGTAGTAATGTCAAGAATTACAGACACATGATGTTAAAGATAAGAGGATTTGGAACTGAAACTATTTCTTCTTGCTTTATTTTGGTTTATTCCCTTGGCATATTCGTGAATGCACAATTAAAAAAGAAAATATCAATGACTTCTCTTACTCTCCAGTGTTTCCCGCTTTCCTTATTTCCCGTCTGCTCTTGTTCTCCTTTAAAGATATTACAAAGAAGTTCAGACTGTCTCAGAACATATTCAGAAGTGTCTAGGGAGCCAGACCGGCAGCTTTGCTGGTGTAAAGAAGTTGCAGAAGTTCCTGGGACGACCGTTTCCTTTTAAGGTACGCTTGGAAGTATCTAGTAAATAAAAAATATTTGACTACTTTTTCTGAAGTCCTGGAACTTGGGAACCGACATCGGGTAAGAATTAATCATTGTCTGCTGGGCACAGTGGCTCACGCCCATAACCCTAGCACTTTGGGAGGCCGAGGTGGTGGATTACCTGAAGTAAGGAGTTTGAGACCAGCCTGACCAACATGGAGAAAACCCGTCTCTACTAAAAATACAAAATTAGCCAGGTGTGCTGACACATACCTGTAATCCCAACTACTTGGGAGGCTGAGGCAGGAGAATTGCTTGAACCGGGAGGTGGGGGTTATGGTGAGCCGAGATCATGCCATTGCACTCCGGCCTGGGTGACAAGAGTGAAACTCCTTCTCAAAAAAACAAAGATTAATCCTTGTCTTGAAAGCATAACTCTTAAATACAGTTTTCCCTTGGCATCTGGGGGTGATTGGTTTGAGGATTCTCATTGGATGCAAACATCCAGGACAGCCCAAGCCTCTTATATAAAATGGCGTTGAGTGTGTATATAACCTGTGTACACTTTACATTATCTCTAAATTACAGTACCTCATACAATGTAAACGCTGTGTGAATAGTGATTATACTGTATTGCTTAGGTAATAATGACAAGATAAAAATGTCCTTAACGTGTTCAGTACAGACACAACCATCCATTTTTCCCCCTGAATATTTTCAACCCACGATTGGTTGAATTGATGCTGAACCCACAGATAACAAGAGGGCAGGTTCTATCCTATGAATCTTGTTAAGCAATTTGCTACATAATATCATTTTACTTATTCCTCAGATTACTAAGGCTGGGTAGAGATTTAACCGGGTAGAGAGTAAACAAGTCCTTTGTTTTCTGGAAACGTTAAGAATATATCATAAATTTATTCTCAGACTGTATAGGCTACTAATGAAAACCACATTTGTGCTCTATAGTTTGTTCTTGCGGGTTTTGTTGTTTCAGGACAAGCTGGTGGTGGAGTGTTTTTCACAACTGAAGGTGCTTAACAAAGTCCTTGCCGTCAGGGAGCAGATGCCTGCCCTTGGGGAGAGTGGATGGCAGGAAGACATTAATCGTCTCCAAGTGGTTGCTTCTGAATGGACATTGAAGAAAAGTCTCCTACAAGCCTGGGGATTGATACTTAGAGCTAATATTTTGGAAGATGTCAACCCTGGTAAAATATTCTAGCACTTGGCTAGCTGACAAATGCTCAGAAAATATCCTCTTGCTGGTAGCTATTAAGTTTTCCCTTAGACTTTTCTTTTCTGGGAAATGTGAGGGGTATAGTGTAAATATCTTTAAATAAGTGTCAGGCATAGGGCTAAACTTCACATATATTTTAAATTCCATCAGTAGAATCGTGTGGATGTTAATAACATTTCACAGATGAGAATCTCAGAGCTCAGGTTAAGGAGCTTAACTCTGGTTAGCTCAAGTTAAGCTTGCAGTCTCATAGCAGGCTGTTGAGAATCTAGAGGCTGTACTCTTGACCACTGTGCCCTAATACAATGTTTGTCTTTTGTCCAGATGAACTGAGGAATTTTGTGCATGCTCAGTGTTTAGAACTGAAAGCCAAAGGACTCTCACTTGGTTTTCTGGAGAAAAAGCATGGTGAAGCTTCCTCCCTGTCCCATCCACGCTTTACCTCCCTGATCCAGCTCACCAGGATTGTTCAGTTGTGGCCTGCAATGGAGTACCTGGCTATGCTTTGGCAGTACAAAGTGACAGCTAATTTTATGGCACAGGCTTATCTTAGAAGGTAAACCATGCTCTCAGCTGTTTTTCTTGTGGAAACTTTCTCTCTTTATTAGTCTGTATATCCTATACCCATAAACAAAGCACAGACTTGATGGGGATGGTTTCTGAAACCGAGGGAGATAGTTTGCCGTTTTGGAAAGCCCAAATGTATTGAAGGTTTTTTGCTAGTTTTGACTCTACTTTAAAAGTCACTAGGAATTTTATCAATAGACTTGTTCATTTTTAGATAAAGGTATTATAAGTTTTATGTTACACTTTCCTTAATGTAGCAGCTTTCCAGTAGTTCTTTGATAGTCCATACCCCATCTTCTCCCTCTTTATTTTTGGAACAGATGCAGCAAAAATCAACAACCCCAGATAAATGAGGAGATACGTCATCTCATCTCATTTTGTCTTTATCACACACCAGTTGCTCCTCAAGAGCTTCGAGATCTGTGGTCCTTGCTGCATCATCAGAAGGTAAAAATCACAAAGAGATATAAGCCTCCTTTACACTATGAGTTGATTAGATTTTCTGTGACAGAGTGGTTGCAAAACATTTTGTTTATTCTTAAAATTCCATGTTGGAAACCTCAGGTTATTTTGAGTTACCTCTTAAAGGAGAGAATTTTTAATATTCTTTTGCAGTAATTATGAGGGTATATTACAACTCTTATCACAGGAGTATTCATTTTGGTTTCCAATTAAATGAAATGAAAATATTTGCTTCTAAAAATTTCCCAGTTGCTCAAAAATATATTGTGAGAATGTTTTGTACTCTTCTAATAATAGTAATAAACTCTGGTTAATAGAATTTCATTAGTACAGCTTTAAATAAAACTGTAAACATGTCACATTTCTTGACCAAGATTACTGGTGTGGCAGAGAATCAGAAAAATTTGGATTAATACCTTTAAAGTCATGATAGTTTTGGATGAGTCTTAGAAAAAAGAGAACTAATAACTTGATTTATGAAGTCTTTCTCAGATATTCTCTTACCTAATTATTCCTTTATTTTTAGGTGTCTCCTGAAGAAATTACTTCTTTGTGGTCCGAGTTATTTAATTCCATGTTTATGGCTTTCTGGAGCAGTACAGTGACCACACATCCAGAGTACTGGCTAATGTGGAACCATTGGCCTGCCATGCAGGAGAGGGAGGCACCCAAGTCCCTTTTGGGCTCCACATTGAAGGTTTGTTGCTCTAAAATTATAAAAAATGTTTGATAGTGGCAAAAGAGTTTCTGAATGGATCTATCAATAAACATTTATTCCTGGCATACAATAGTGACTAGGTGATTGCAACGCTTTATTTTCTGCAGGATGTTAAATAAGTTTAGTGTCAGTAAAAGTATACCATATTAAATGATTTGTGAAATTCGGAGATAAGTCAAAAAAGGTTTTATTGAAAAAGTCTATACTATAATTAAAAGATAATTTTTTCACTATAAAATATTGAAACAGTACAGATATATGTATATATAATATATACAATTCATTAGAAATGTCCACTCTGCTCTGTATCCTTTTTTTACATATATTTTTATATTAAATACATATATAAACAAAAATAAGTACACATATATGTAATAGAAATATGTATGTCATTCCAGCTTATTTATCTTTTTGAGATGGAGTTTCACTCTTGTTGGCCAGGCTGGAGTGCAGTGGCACAATCTCGGCTCACTGCAACCTCTGCCTCCTGGGTTCAAGTGATTCTCCTGCCTCGGCTACCCGAGTAGCTGGGACTACAGGCGTGTGCCACCACACCCAGCTGCTTTTGCATTTTTTAATAGAAATGGGGTTTTACCATGTTGGCCAGGATGGACTCAATCTCTTGACTCTGTGATCTGCCTGCCCCTGCTTCCCAAAGTGCTGGGATTACAGGCATGAGCCACTGCGCCCGGCTCATTCCAGCTTGTTTTGTGAAGTTATTCTGTTGTATTGATGTGTTCGAATTTATTTCACTCACCTTCTTACTGATAAAGTGTTGAAGTTTCTTGCATTTTCTCCCTCCTCCTGTAATAAGCGTGCCACATTGGCTATCCTTGTATACATCTTTGTCCACTTGTTGGTGCATTTCTGCACATAAGTTACTGGAATTGCAGTTGAATCCTTGGTCAGAGTATCTACACATTAAAAGCAAAATTGTGGTTATCATCAAACTACAGATGGGGCTTTTGCTTTTTACTTTTTCAAAGATGAGAGGAGCCAGTGAAGAGCGAAGTCCTGAAGTCCTGGATGACCACAGTGAGGTTTAGTGTCCTTTAATATAGAGATGAGGACCTGTTCTTCATCTGCTTGCCACACTAGGTGTTATAAACATTTCTAATTGTTTCTGTCATACAGTTAGAACATATTTGCACTTCTTTGATAAATGCGAAGATGAAGCATATTTTCACGTTTATTGATCACCTTTAGTTCTTCTCTGAATTTTCTAGTTATGGTCGTCCTTTTTTAAGAAAAAAAATTGGGTTGGCTGGGCATTGTAGCTCACTCCTGTAATCCCAGCTACCTGGGAGGAAGATCTTTTTATATGTTATGTATGTTAAACTTTTGTCCCATATAGGTTGGAATTGTATTTCTAGTTTTCCATTGTCTCTCAAGTTTGTTTTCTTACATGTCACAAGTTTTATTTTTTCCCTCCAAATAGTCCAGCCCCTTCTACTTACTGACTTTAGGGTCATGCTTTTAAAAAATGTTTCCCTTCATCACCTTAACAGTTCAAAATTATTTTCTATTATTTTCTCCTGTATTTTTATTTTATGTTTAAATCAATGTCATCTGTTTGTTTTATGAGAGAGGGACGCAACTTTTTTTCTTTTATACAAACAGATCCAATAGCGATGTAATAACACCATTTTGACTAATTTGTCCTTTCCACTCTCATTTGAAATGCCACATTTATCCTATACCTTACTGCCCCAAATATTTATGGATTTACTTGACCTTATTGTAAAACACCTCTCAAAGCCTTTAGTGATAAACTTTGGATCCCTGAGGTTTGTGTGACATATACAGAGTTGACCATCACACATATTTGGCTGTCAGCCCTTTGACAACACTTTGCTTTGGACAGTTATTATTGTGTCCCATTTAACAGTCTAAGGAGCATAGACACGGCAGCTTTGTCCCTGGCTCTTACATTTGTCTCTCACTCCTTTCCTGAATTACCTTTTATCCTCCTATAGTGTGGCTCCTTCCCTTCTGCACGAATGTTCTCCCTGATTCCCAGGTTTGCAGTCTTTCCTCATGCATTACTAAAGCACCCATTGCCCATTTCCTAGAGCATGGAGTCCACTTTCATTTAAGGTATACCAGCCCCAACCCATTCTCTTCTAATCCCATCTCTGAGAGATGCTTACCTGTTCCAAGCAACCCGAACCTTCTCTTTTTATTCTTTCCTTTCGGGTTCTCTGTTGCTGCTTCTGGAAATTGTCTTAGTTAATTTTTAAAAGTTATTGACTCTTCTCTTGTCCCTTAGGGCCCTGGCAATCTCAATAGACCCATATTCTCTAAGTGCTGCTTTGAAGTCTTAACCAGCAGCTGCAGAGCAAGTCCCTGGGATGTGAGTGGCCTCCCCATCCTGTCCTCCTCTCACGTGACCCTAGGAGAGTGGGTTGAGAGAACCCAGCAGCTCCAGGACCTCAGTTTGATGCTTTGGACCAACATGGCTATCTCTTCAGTAGCAGAATTCAGGTATTCCCTCACCCTGGAAGCCTCCTGTAAAGTTCCTGCCTTTTCTCCAGAGCATGGAGCAGATACCCAGTGAGAACTTCCTTCTATAGTGGCTAGTTCTGGTGTTTGAAGTGAGGGCATTTCCTGCCTGGATCAGCATGTTTTCGGGCTACCATGAGCTGACCAGTTCCTCTGTCAGTTTTAAGCATATTGTGATCAAGAGGGTGATGCTTAGTAAACCAAATAAGACTATGTGAGAACAGAAGTTCAGCTCCACATATTGATGCTGCATTCTGTGGTTGTTATTTCTTGAGAGAGTGATAGTATATGAAAAGCAATGCCTTTTGATACAGTACAAGCCTTTCAGTGCTTTCCTTTTGTCCCCACAGACGCACGGATTCCCAACTGCAGGGGCTGGTGCTATTCCGGCACCTGGCAGGCCTAGCAGAGCTGCTCCCAGAGCCCCGGCGGCAGGAGTACATGCAGAACTGTGAGCAGCTGCTGCTTGGGAGCAGCCAGGCCTTCCAGCATGTGGGCCAGACTCTTGGTGACATGGCTGGTCAGGAGGTGCTGCCCAAGGAACTGCTCTGCCAGTTGCTCACCTCCCTGCACCACTTTTTTGGTGAAGGGGTGAGTAAGAAGAGCCTGCCTGAGCCAGCCCAGCGTGGGAGCCTCTGGGTGAGCCTTGGCTTGCTGCAGATTCAGACATGGCTTCCCCAGGCACGCTTTGACCCTGCGGTGAAGAGGGAGTACAAGCTCAATTACGCCAAAGAAGAGGTATGGGAGCCAGGCGTTTGGAGCACGGGCTCCTTCCCTGACCTGCTGGATCTGGTGATTGTGTTACTCCTTTTGGGAATTCAGATCATGATATTGCAGAAGCTGCCTTATGACTTCCCAGGAGTCTTGTTTTGTTTTGTTTCATTTTTTTGAGATGGAGTCTTGCTCTGTTGTCCCGGCTGGAGTGCAGTGGTGTGATCTCAGCTCACTGCAACCTCTGTCTCCTGGGTTCAAGCAGTTCTCTGCCTCACCTGTTGAGTAGCTCGGATTATAGGCACACACCACCACACCTGGCTAATTTTTGTACTTTTAGTAGAGATGGGGTTTCACCATTTTAGCCAGCCTGATCTTGAACTGCAGACCTCGTGATCCACCCACCTTGGCCTCCCAAAGTGTTGGGATTACAAGTATGAGCCACCACGCCTGGCCTGGATTTGGATATTTCTTTAGGTAGTATATAGTATCCCTATGTCCTAGGAATTTTGGACTTATTGGTGTTTGCTGTCTAAAACTCAAGAATCAAGTACAGGCTAGGTGTGGTGGCTCACCCCTGTAATCCCAGTACTTTGGGGGCTGAAGTGGGAGGAACACTTGATCCCAGGAGTTCGAGACTAACCTGGGCAACAACATAGTAAGATCCTCATCTCTACCAAAAAAGAAAAAAAAAAAAAAAAAGCTGGGTGTGGTGGTATGTGCTTCTGGTACCAGCTACTCACTAGGCTGAAGCAGTAGGATCACTTGAGCCTGGGAGGTCAAGGCTGCAATGAGCCACGATCGCATCACTGCACTTCAGCTGGGCTACAGAGCCGAGACCCTGTCTTAAAAAAGAGAAGTTGAATCAGATACTGTGGTATCCCTTGCTATTTGAAGTTTGAACCAAGTTCAGGAACTAGATACATTAAGGTAATGGTACGTTAGTACTATTTTGAAGAAGGAAAATTGTATTAGTAGGAGTAGCAGAGAGACTAAAAAATTCAGTGATATAAGTAAGATCGTTTCCCCTCAGAGCTCTGATGTGAGTGGTCTAGATGAGTGGAGCAGAGCCACCTCTCCTTGGGTTATTCAGGAACCCAGATTCCTTCCTTCTGGTTCCTCTACATGCCCCCAGGGCATTGTCTTCATGTGCATGGTCATGGCTGGGACACAGTGAGCTGATTTTTCTGTTTTCCATTAGTTACACCAACTGCAGTGTGAATGGAAGACACGGAACCTGTCATCCCAGCTGCAGACTGGACGAGACCTGGAAGATGAAGCCATTGTCAGTTACTCTCATCCTCATGTCAGGTAACACAGCAGAGTGATTATTTGTTTTGGGGATTATTGACTCTCCTTTTGATGGAGTTGACCTTTGCAATGTAATTATGGTGTCAGTAGAGGTGATAATATACACTTCTAAACTACATTAGCGATTAGATCCCAAAGCCTTCGTTATAATCAGGAAAAATATATGCCTTGTGAAAGGAGGGGAAGGGGCTCTTCAAGGTGTGTGTTCACATGGGGCCAAGATGTTTGAAGCCAAAACTTAGTCTCAGCCCAGAAGAACTGGGGTGTGATGGTATGTACTGTATTTCTCTGCTATTCTTGGCTGTAGGTCTGTTACTAGGAAATCAGTACAGATTGGGGATCCCTTATCCAAAATGCCTGGGACCAAAAGTGTTTTGGATTTGTGGTGGTTTTTTTTTCTTCAGATTTTGGAATATTTATACCAATTGAGCATCCCAGATCTGAAAATCTGAAATCCAAAATACTCTAATGAGACTTTTCTTTGAGTGTCATATTGGCTGGCAGTCAGAAAGTTGGGAGACTTTTGGATATTTGGATTTGGGATGCTTGCCTGTGTAATGTAGTAGCTTCTGAGTTCAAGTCCTGCTCCTGACCTGTGGTTTTACACGTTGGTTAAATCACTTAATGCCTTACATGTCAGTGTCCTTATCAGCCCAAGAAGGATAATTGCAGTTACCTGCTCCAGTAGGCTGCAGTAAGATATGCATCTGAGCACCAGCAACATAACACAACACAGTAACTGCAGTGTAAATGTTACCCATTTTCACTAATTGTCAATATTATCATCACGATTGAGAAAATATTGGAAATATTATTTCACAGCAGCTGATATTTCTTCCTTCTGTTTTCCTAGCCGAGGATCCAATCTACATTTGCTGTTTTTCTTCTGACATAATTTGCATACTGTGTTACTTTCTCTTTAGGCTGCTTCGCCAAAGGATGGATCGGCTGGAGAATTTAACCTGTCGCCTGTTGAAGAAGCAGGCATTCAGACCCCAGGTGCCTGGCTATGAGTCCCTGGTGCAAGAGATCCACCACTACGTCACCAGCATAGCCAAGGCCCCTGCCATTCAGGATCTGCTCACACGGCTCCTGCAGGCCCTCCGCATGGATGGGCCACGGTCTGCCCAAGTAGCCCAGAGCCTTCTAAAGGAGGAGGCCTCTTGGCAGCAGTCACACCACCAGTTCCGGAAGCGGCTGGCAGAGGAGTACGCCTTGTATCCAGATGCCGTGGCCCCACTGCAGGCATCCATATTGCAGTTACAACATGGCATGAGGCTGGTGGCCTCCGAGCTCCATGCCTCCCTCCACAGCAGTATGGTTGGTGCAGACAGGCTGGGGGTCCTGGCCACAGCCTTGCTGGCTTTCCCATCAGTGGGTCCCACCTTCCCCACTTACTATGCTCACGCAGACACTTTATGCTCACTGAAGTCCGAGGAGGTTCTACGAGGCCTCAGGAAACTAATCCTCAAGCACTCAGGAGGAAAGGAGCTGGAAGGCAGGGGCCAGAGAGCCTGTCCCACTCGGGAGCAGCTGCTGATGAACGCTCTCCTTTACCTGCGCTCCCATGTGCTATGCAAGGGAGAGTTGGACCAGAGGGCCCTGCAGCTCTTCAGACATGTGTGTCAGGTGAGCCATCTCTGGGAGGGCAGCCTACAGGACATTAGCATGCCGTAGATACACAGTGTGGTTGGGGCGTGGGCATTCTGTTTTCTGTTCCTTCCTTTTCCCAGTATAGCTAGTATGTTTGCAGACCTTTGCCACTCAATTTTAAAGAGATTTTTTTTAAAAATGAGAAAGCCCTTTATCATACACTGCAAATATTTTCTCCCAGTTTGTCAGTTGTCTTTTGACTTTGTTTATGGTAATTTTGCCAAGTACTTGTGTCAACTTACATTAAAATGTTCTCTTATTAATAAAAGTAATTTGTTCTCCTTGTATGCAGCTAAGAGAATATAAACTAAAATTTCTAATGATCCTACCACTTAAAAGCTGTATAAACCCCACTAACATACCAGGTATCCCATTCTAGGCTTGCTTGTGTGTGTATATTAATATTTATCTGTAGCTGTATGTTTTTATCACCCTAATTTCAAAAAATAATTTGTCCCAGTGGCTAACAGATTTTTTTTAGTAGCCTCAGCTTTAAAAAGTACAAATCTTAGCATAGTTAACAGAAAAAAAGAGTTGCACTGGTTGAGTTTGATTCTGATCCCCCCCTCATGGCCCCTGGACATGTTCTTAAACTGCTACAAAATGATGTACAACAAACCACTAATAAAGTTTATTCTGTTTGATAACTTTGTTTTAAAAACTTCACAGATAGTGATTATTTTCCTGTCATTATATATTCTTTACCTGCTACCTATTTAGTGACTGCCATGTATATTTATGCCATGAGTAATTTTAACTTTTTCTATCATTGAACATTTACATTTGTATATACTTGTTTTTACTATTTTGCCCCCCCCCCCCAATAAAAAAAAAAGCAAAAAAACAAACCCAGTGCCACAGTAAATAGTCTCACAGGTAGATATTTGAATACAAATTTTAGAGATCAGGATTGCTGGGCAAAGATTAAACACACTTCTTAGGCTTTACGTGCAAATTACCTTCCTAGATGGTGGATGCTTATTTCCGCAGCCTTAGCAGTGTTGGATGATTCTTTAATTTACAGGTTTTGCCAGTTTAAGGATCTGAAATCTTAGAGTTGGAAGGGAATTTCCAATGTGTCTGGTAAGACACATTCCAGTTTTGCCTGATTGGTGCCCTTTGACCACCCAGTCCCTAATCTAAGTGTTTCTTTCCTGAACTTGGCCAGCTCCTTGGGGTGCCACCCAAGTGCAGTCTGAACCACAGCCCTCTCATGGCCAACCCCAAGTCTGTCCTTGTTACAGAGCACATTTAGCTGTTGACAGGCAAGTTCCCATTAGCTGTACTGTGGCAAGTTTTCCACCTTCAAAAGTACAATGACACAGCAGTGGGGATTTAGGAAACTGCTTGCTGAGAATACATACTTTGAAAACAAAACCCATTTGCTCTTTTTTTCCATGGAATTTAGTTTCGTGGATGTTGGCTTTTATTTGTTTTTGAGTCATGAGAAATTAATAGCAAATCTTGCCTTTGTGAGTGCCTCAGCAATGAAAGTTCAGCTTCTTTCTGTCTATGTAACTTTCAGGAAATCATCAATGAGTGGGATGAGCAAGAACGCATAGCCCAAGAGAAGGCTGAGCAGGAAAGCAGCTTATACAGATACAGGAGCAGGAACTCTAAGACAGCCCTGAGTGAAGAGGAGGAGGAAGAACAGGAGTTCAGAAAACAGTTCCCCCTGCATGAACAGGTAGGGCAGTGGTGGTAGGGTTTGTTTTGGAATGACTTCCCTTCATACGTTCCCTCTGATGGCTTTCTCTCTCCCTGTCTCTATTTTAGAGGCTAGAGTGCAGTGGCACAATCATAGCTCACTGCAGCCTCAAACTCCTGGGCTCAAACAGTCCCCCAAGTAGCTACAACCGCATGTGCATGCTACCACATCCTGCCAGTTTTTAAATCTTTATAATATAGAGACAGGGTCTCACTATGTCACCCAGCCTGTCTCAAACTCCTGACCTCAAGCAGTCCTCCCCCCTCAGCCTCCCAAAGCACAAGGATTACAGGTGTGAGCCACTGTGCCCAGCCTATAGTCTTTTAAAATATACTTTAATACATGTATAAGTCCTATTTCATTTTCTCCATCATTCTTAGGCTTTTTTTCTTTCTTCCTTTTGGTCTGATTAGAAGTAGATTCTGATTTTTAAAAGTTCAATTGCTCTAATGCTATTTATAGGACTTTGCAGATATTTTGGTACAGCCAACACTGGAGGAGAACAAAGGAACTTCAGATGGGCAAGAAGAGGAAGCAGCCACAAACCCAGCTTTCCTCTCCCAGAATTCAATGCAGGCAGTAATGATGATACACCAGCAATTGTGCCTCAACTTCGCTCGATCCCTCTGGTACCAGCAGACTCTGCCACCACATGAAGCAAAGCATTACCTCAGCCTGTTTCTGTCTTGCTATCAGACTGGGGCATCGCTTGTGACACACTTCTACCCCCTGATGGGTACAGTAGTTTACTTTTGTTATGCCCTTGGGAAAGCAAAGCAAATAGATGCTGTTGCTGCTTCTGGAACAGTCACACTCATAAATTTCCTGTTTTCACATAATTCCTTATTAATGGAGTGTCCTTGGCTTAAATAACTTAAGCTAATTCAAGAAAACTGATTTAGGATTATGTAGTAAGGTGGATTTTCATCAGTGTGCAAATGGGTAAAGAAAAAGATGGATATGTATTGTTTGGATCCTTTAGTGTGAAGGATTAAGAAAATATGGATAAGGAGTTAATTTTATTTTTTTTCCCCTTAGCATTATTTCTGCTTTCTGTCAATAGCCTTAGTGCTTTTCAAATGAAATAATATATACCTGGAAGCAACCAATCTCATGGAATATGGTTTAATAGTTGGTCCAGTGCAGTTTCCTACATGATTTCATGCATTATTTCATGCACGTAGGGAGGAGGCATAAGTTTCCTTTCTGTTTACCTAGAATAGGTATAAAACTGGGAATTTGAATGCATTGAGTTAACCCCTACACCCTTTTGTTTATACCTAGGCAGTTTCTGACTTCCTCTGCGCATTCCAAAACTTGAGAACTTTAGGTAGCTGCTATGGTATTGGTATTACAATTCTCTAGGCCAGTATTGCTTTGGGGGAGAATGGCATTCATTAGTGCCAATTAGTTCATTGTTGCTGGTGTCTTTTTCTGGGACAGAGCTTTGCTCTGTTGCCAGGCTGGAGTGCAATGGTGCAATCTCAAATCACTGCAATTTCCACTTCCTGGGTTTAAGTGACTCTTCTGCCTCAGTCTCCCAAATAACTGGGACTATAGGCGCGCGCGCGCCACCCCGCCCAGCTATTTTTTTGTATTTTTAGTAGAGACAGAGTTTTACTGCTGTTAGCCAGATGGTCTCGATCTCCTGACCTTGTGATCCGCCCGCCTTGGCCTCCCATAGTGCTGGGATTACAGGAGTGAACCACCACACCTGGGCTTTTTGTTTGTTTTTTGCGACAGTCTTACTCTGTTGCCCGGGCTGGAGTGCAGTGGCAGGATCTTAACTCACTGCAACTCCACCTCCCAGGTTCAAGCAATTCTTGTGCCTCAGCCTCCTGAGAAGCCGGGATTACAGGCACGTGCATGCCTGGCTAATGTCTGTATTTTTAGTAGGAATGAGGTTTAACTATGCTGGCCAGGATGGTCTCAAACTCCTGGCCTCAAGCAATCTGCCCACCTTGGCCTCCCAAAGTACTGGGATTACAGATGTGAGCCACTGCGCCTGGCCCTGTTGCTGACATCTTCTTGACATATTGATACATCAGCTTACTGAGTTCACTGACTTTACCGTGATGTTAACTTCACAGGAGTTGAACTGAATGACCGACTCTTGGGCAGCCAACTTTTGGCCTCCACCCTCTCCCATAACACTCTCTTTGGGGAGGCAGCCTCAGACCTGATGGTGAAACCTGATGGGCCCTATGACTTCTACCAACATCCTAATGTTCCAGAAGCACGGCAGTGTCAACCTGTGCTTCAGGGTTTCTCAGAGGCTGTCACTCAGTTGCTGCAGGACTGGCCAGAACACCCAGCACTTGAACAGGTAGGGCAGTTGCTGAGGAAGGAATTCTCATAGTACTGAATCTGCAATGAGGATGCAACCTCACCATCATCCCTGGGGGCACTCACTTGCACACGTGTACATATAAACAAAGGCTTAACCTCAATTCAATGAGATGCTACTTACTAACTACAGGATGAACACACCAGTTTTGTATTTCTCTTGTATAAGTGATGTTTGGGGATTCTGTTAATTTTATTTGTTTGGGCAGGGGTTGCTGACCATATAATAAAATGCTGCCATGTTGCTCTGTTAATTCGGACACATACTCATACTACCAAAGGCTTTATAGTTTTCTTAAATGTACTAGAAATAGGTTTTGCTTTTTTATGATGAGCAGTTTTAACTTGGACATTGCTCTGTGGTCTTCAGCCAGTTTTATAACCCTTGGTACAAGGAATAAGACTGATTATCTTGTCAGACTTCATCTTATTTCCGGGGGTATGCAGTAGATAAAGTGCTTATCTCGGTCAAAATACATACCCCTGAAAGTTTTTATTCATAGTTTCAGAGGTGTTTTAAAAGCAGAAAATTGGGAGGAAACTTCTGGTCAGGACTTTCTTCAGTACCCTGTGACTTTGGATCACTGGTATTCCTACTGAGATAACCAAATCTTTATTTCTGCAGCTGCTGGTTGTTATGGACAGAATTTGTAGTTTCCCACTTTCCAGTCCCATCTCAAAGTTCCTGAATGGCTTAGAGATCCTTCTGACAAAGGCACAGGTGAGCTAATCCCTCTCTTCCTCGTCTTAGTTGGTGGTCAGTTGGCAAAAGATGTATCTTGTGGCACCTTTGTTGTTAGAAAATTATGGTTTGGGCTGGAAAAAGATAAGCATCTTTGGTTTTTCTGGCATGGGGTGAGATCATTGCAATTGAGCCATTGCCCCTGTGATGAGGATGAACTACCTTGCCTTTTTTCCAGTGGGATGCAGTGTCCACTGGAAATGAGGGTACAGTCCCCCAGGCCTTCCAGGTGGACCTTCAGTCCAGCTGAGTGCCCACATATGCTGTTCCCCGTAATGCCCTCATGGCCTTGGAGTTAGCTGTTACCTCCCCATTGGACAGAAAAGGGTCACATGTCTTTGATCCAGGTCAGACAGCAAACAGCATGAATTCAGGCTCCAGTCTGTAAACACTGTGCTTTCTTGCCTGCCTCTAAACTTGGCTCTGCTGGAGTTCTGTCATGTGACCAGACAGAAGCTGGGTACACTATAGATTGATTCCTGCAGTTGGTGTAAGTCGTTTAGGGGCCCAGTAGTCTCTAGCCATGCAAAGTTCAAGACGTTCTTGAGAGAGCAGGTTGGGATTGAATAATGTCCACAGTGAATTTTATCTTTGTTTCTTTAGGATTGGGAGGAAAATGCAAGTCGAGCTTTGTCTTTGCGGAAACATCTTGATTTGGTTAGTCAAATGATCATTCGGTGGCGTAAACTGGAGCTAAAGTAAGTGACTCTCCTTCCTTTTCCTGAACTTAGGTTGTAAGGGCTTTCTTCTTTTGGTAGTTTAACTTTCTTTAGGATTTATATAGTATTAAAGCTTCGGAATGTGGTTTTTAGTCATTAATCACAGAGTTAAAAGCAGGGTGTTAAAATGGCCTGAATATAGTCTAGACAACAGCATATGTTCTTGCGGCAGGAAACTGGGCGGCTCCTCCATCTCCATTTGGGAGGAGAGAAGAGTGAGCATGCAGCTTCTGCATCTCTGATTTCAGATCTTTCAAATGTTTCCCTAAATGCCCGCTTGGCTACTTCTCTCGTTTCAGCTGCTGGTCCATGAGTTTGGATAATACCATGAAGTGCCACACTGAGAAATCCACCAAGCACTGGTTCTCCATCTATCAGATGCTTGAGAAACACATGCAGGAACAAACAGAAGAACAGGAAGGTAACACCTAGCAGTACGTTTCCTGGCCACTTAGAGTTTCCCAGCTAAACGGAGTGCTGCAAAGCGTAGGATTTCCCTGCTCCTGCTGCTCCCTACACTGCTTTCATGAGGGAATGCGTCCCGTTTGACTTTATGGTATTTCTGAGAGGTCAGCCAAGAAAGCTATAAATAGCATTTGTCCAACTGAGATAATAATAACAAAAGTCTGAGAGGTTTAAATGTCTTCTCCAAAAAGTGTAAATAACCAATCATATGGTAAGTTTTCCTTCTTCTCCATGTCCATGATAGAATTCAAAGTGAAAGTTGAGTTTTTGGTAGGTAGTGGCCAACATGCTTGAATGAAAAGTCTTTTATACATAACAACGAGCACCTTATAGTTCATTTTCATAATTTGCTGTGAGTGCGTTTAACATATGTCCTATGTGCAGCTGTTACTTTATTCATTTAGTTTTTTGAGATGGAGTCTTGCTCTGTTGCCCAGGCTGGAGTACACTGGTGCGATCTTGGCTTACTGCAACCTCCACCCCCAGGCTCAAGCAATTCTCCTGCCTCAGCCTCCTGACTAGCTGGGATTACAGGTGCTGACCACTGTGCCTGGCTAGTTTTCGTATTTTTAGTAGAGAGGGGGTTTCACTTTGTTGGCCAGGCTGGTTTTGAACTCCTGACCTTCAGATGATCCAACCACCTCAGCCTCCCAAAGTGCTGGGATTACAGGCGTGAGCCGCCACACCTGGCCTGTTATTTTAAATCAGCCTAGAATGTAGCCGTGGTCCTTGTTTGAGAGCCTCACATTGTGATATCTACCTCATGGTCATCCATAGTATTCCAAATAGATTGCGTGTCTGTCAGAAATAGGGAGTGATGGTTGAAGGAAATACATATTTTCCTCTTTGAATTTTTAAAGATGACAAACAGATGACCTTGATGTTGCTGGTCAGCACATTACAAGCATTTATTGAAGGATCCTCGCTGGGAGAGTTCCATGTGCGACTTCAGATGTTACTGGTTTTCCATTGTCACGTCTTGCTGATGCCACAGGTTGAAGGAAAGGGTGAGGATTTTTTTTCCTTTCCTTTTACATCACACTACTCAAATGGGTTAGGCTTTGAATTTACCACGAGACAGGTGCCTTCTTGCACACTTGGTTTTAAACAAGACACACAGTTATGTTTAATGCGCTTCACATTAGATAGAGAGGAGAACCCTGAAAGTGAAGTGCAGATGGTTCTAAGTTTAGCACTGACTAGCAAGCCCTGGCAGAAGTAAATTGCCAGATGAAGCTCTCAGGACCTAGCATGTTGAGGCAGCACATCTCTGCCTAGACACTGTAATATCCTGCTAAGCTACTGCTTGATCCAGGCCATTATAAGTTTCTTTCATCCAGTGAGAGCACTGCCATCCATCAAGGAACTGCACATAAAACTGCCTGTTGTCAAGTACTATCCCTGACCACAGCAATTGGGATAAAAGTCTCACTACAAGAGGAGTACAGACTGTACATGAATGAGCATTTGGGGTGACCTGCTTAATATGCCATCTTTTAAATCAAGCTCAGTTTCTGCTGATTTTACAATAAGATTCAGAGAAAGAATTTGATATTATGATTTTAGAAGAACCTCTGAGTACATCATCTTCAAGAACAAAAGTGCAAAAAAACATCTGTTACAAGCAGAAGTGAAAAATAGGGGATTATTGACAGTCTGCATCTCTGGGAAATGCTAAAGTCAGACAGGCTCCCTAAATAATCCGCCTGTGAAACTCGCTGTAATCTCGTGGCATAGAGAGTAATGAGGAAGGACCGTCACTGAAATATGAAGGCCACAGCTGGCACCAGTAGCACATGCAGCAAGTGTGGTGTTTTTGTTTCCTTTTCATTTCTTCCAGATTCACTTTGCAGTGTTCTATGGAATTTGTACCATTATTACAAGCAATTCTTTGACCGGGTCCAGGCCAAAATTGTGGAACTTCGTTCCCCCCTAGAAAAAGAACTTAAAGTAAGATGAACAGCTGTCATGATCACTTTTGGGAGGACAAAATCAGCAAATTCTCTTTCTTTAATCCTGTTATCCATTTAACACTGAGGCAGGGACCTAGGGGAATAGTGGCGAGCATTGCCACTGCTAAGTAGGATGGCAAGATGTACAGTGGTGGTACTGGCTTCTTTTGTCACCTGCAGAGTGTGTGAGGGGTTGGTGGAGTGGCCTATCAGAGCCTCCTGAGAGGACTGCCACAGAAATCTTTTGTGTTCCCCTAGTCTTGCCCAGGCTTGTCTCCCACCTCAGAGCTGAGCTGTGTCGTGTTGGTCCACGCATCAGTGAAGTGCCATGGGGGAAGGAGGGACCTCTCTTTTAGATACTCTTGGTGGTTCCTAAGCTGGAGTACATGTCAAGTGACAGTGATTGTAGCAGAAATTTTTTTTTTTTTTTTTTTTTTGAGGGAGACGGAGGCTCGCTCACCAGACAGGAGGAAAGGCAGGGGAACACACCCAACTCAAGCCAATCCCCACCGCCTGCAAGCAAGCAACCCCCCTCACCCACCCCACCAACTAGCACGGAAGGCACCTACCTCCAACCACAGCCAACTAATTTATTGTAAGTAAAGAGAGAGGGGCACCACCATGGCCACAATCGCCTAAACAACCTCACAACGGCACACACCCACCTCACAAACACAAAAGACTAGAATGACAGTAAAGAAACAACACACATGAACCAGGAGTAATAAAATAGGCCTGTTACACGCCATCACAGACACACAGGCCACTAAGTGGGATAGACAAAGAGCAAAAATGCGACCAAAAGAAATCCAGAAAGAAACAGAATAACACTAGCGAAACAAAACAATGTCTTAAACAACATTGAGCTGACAGAAAAGAATAAACAAGACCAAATCAAATAAAAACAACAGAGAGTCAATTAAAAAAGCCCTAGAAAAGACAAACACCAAAGCCGACAGGCAAAAACGGGGACAACCAAAACAGAACCACATGACCCAAGGAACAAAAATACAAAGGCAACAGAACACAACCCAAAAAGAAAGAGAAGAAAAGGAGCAAAAAAAAAACCCACCATGAGGAACCCACCCCCGCAAGAAACACCACACACCACCGATCAGACCACAAACCCACTCAAGAAAGCACTGCTGCCCAAAAAGACAAACCAGCAAAACTGGCACACCGGCGACCACACCCCAAATACAAGAACAAAGAAAGCCAAATCCAAACCGAACAAGCGTCTCCACTAAAAAAGGAAGATAAAAAGACAGGCCAGCATTTCACCACCAAAAATAAAACACAGAGTAACAATGAAAAAGAACAACAAACATAAAAGCCACAGCGCAAGGAATCATCCAGCGACACACTACAAAGTAGCTGGAAATACACTTGCGAACCCACATGCCCACCTAATATATCTGTAATTACCAGGAGACACCACCCGCCTTAAAATCATGAACAAATTGCAACAAGCAATCAGGCAACCCCGACCGCCAAAACTGCTGGAAAGACACAAGGAAGAAAACCTGCACTGCCAGCCAAAAACAAAAGAGGCAACTGAAAGTGAACCACAGGCCATTCAGAGGCCAAACAGGCCACAGAACAAGACCCTGATAACACCACAAGCAACCCGCCACATACTGGGCTCAAACAAACCGCCCGCCTAAGCCCACGCAAGCAAAAGAGGATAAACGACGGACATGCAAAGCATGGCCGAACGACAAGACAAAAAAATCACTGTGAAATCTGACACCTTCCACAGAAACAAAAAACATCAAGTGGCTCAACGTCCTAGCAGAAAAAGGCAAAAAAGAGAGGGGCTAAAAAGTTTCTTTCTTTTTTTTTTTTTTTTTTGAAACAGAGTCTCACACTGTTGCTCAGGCGCAATTATGGCTCACTGCAGCCTCGACCTCCTGGTCTCAAGTGATCCTTCCATGTCAACCTCTGAGAGCTAGGACCACAGACACATGCCACCATGCCTGGTTAATTTTTTTTTTTACTTTTTGTAGAGACGAGGTCTTGCTTTGTTACCCAGGTTGGTCTCGAACTTTTGGTCTTAAGTGATCCTCCCTGCCTTGGCCTCCAAACAGCTGGGATTATGGGCGTAAGCATCGCACTCAGCCTTGCTGCTTCAAGTTTAATGTCAGCCTGTGAGAAACAATTGCGCTTACCTGTGAACATCATGTGCTATGAACAAAGATTTGAAGCATCAGTTTAAGAATATGCCATTGAAACTGCCTGTGGGCTACCGCGTGAGGAAGCTGCTGCACAGAGTGTGAATGTGTGCCGTGATGTGCTGGTTTATAGTTACTGTGGTGTAAATACTTCTGTTACGGCAGTTTCCAGCACCAACAGTTAAGATTTGGCTTGCAAAATTCCCAAAAACTTAACAGTGATACATCTTGAGTTAGCAGGTCTGTTATAGAATTGATGTTCCTGCTTCATGTCCTTGGGTGTGGGGAGCTTCAGGATCGGAAAGCACTCCTCCAGAGAGTAATTTCTTGGCAGGTGTAGTGGCTCACGGTTGTAATCCCAGCACCTTGGGAGGCTGAGGCAGGAGGATCACTTGAGCCCAGGAATTTGAGACGAGCCTGGGCAACATATGAGACCCTGTCTCTCCACAAAAAAAAAAAAAAAAAAAATTTTAAGAGTAATTAGTTTTGCCTTCTTACTGTATTTCCTACTTGGGGTTCACAGAGTTAGTAATGAAAGTCCTTAAGCTATTTTTGTTATTTTAGTGGTTCAAAACTCATAATAGAAACTGAACATATAGACATAAGGCTGAAGAGACACGATATGGCTACCAAATTTACTTTCTTTTGACTGTATTTGTCAGCTCACTGCTTCTGTCATTCTAATCAACAATTTTGATTTGCTAATGACAGCATAGTAATTTCAGGTTATTCCTCAGGACAAAAAAATGAAAATATGCCCCTGATGGACAAAAGCTCTTCCCTTCATATAATGTCTGAATTCCTGTGTCTGAGGTGCGTTGGCTCTTGCCTATAATCCCAGCACTTTAGGAGCCCAAGGCAGGTGGATCACTTGAGACCAGGAGTTTGAGAGCATCTTCGCCAACATGGTAAAATCCTGTCTCTACTAAAAATACAAGATATAGCCTGGTGTGGTGATGCATGCCTGTAATCCCAGCTCTTTGGGAAGCTGAGGTACGAGAATTGCTTGAACCTGGGAAGTGGAGGTCGCCGCGAGCCAAGATCGGGCCACTGCACTTCAGCCTTGGTGACAAAGTGAGACCCTGTCTCAAAAAAGAAGAAAGGAAATCTAAATTCCTGAAATTTGAACTGTTAATTAGGGGTAAATGGCCATAGGAGTAGGATGGATTTCGCCTGGCTGGTATATCAGAAACACAATGTGGCTCAGCACCTTAAGGGCAGCGGTGTTACTGTTCATTCCACTCTGTTCGCCATTCAGAACTGGAGTCTCCTCGTGGCTATCGTAATAAGCGTTGCTGGATGTAGGGGTATGGGGGTCCTTCCATTATGTTGATCTCATATAGAGCAGTAACATGGTTTTCTAAATATCCATAGTATGTCCCTTAATTTTAGTGATGCTACGTTTGTTCTCATGTGACTTTGGAGATGATGGTAATTTAATATTTGCTGAACTAGGGATGTGTTTGTGTGCAACAGTTAAATCTAGCTCTCATGCAGTTTAAAATGATGCCCGTCATTCTTGGCAGCGAGGCTAACCTGTCCTTTGTCTCACAGGCCACAATTCCAGAGTGGTGTCAGGGCACTGCTCCTTCCCCCTTGGAAGGGGAACTTCTGCGTCGCTTGCCAAAGCTCAGGAAACGCATGATGAAGATGTGCCTGACCTTCATGAAGGAGAGTCCCCTGCCTCACCTTGTGGAGGGCCTCGATCAGTTCATAGGTGGGTGCCAGCAGCCAGGTCAAGGGTGGAACTTTCTGTTTTCCCCAGTGGCCCAGGAGGTCTGAGAATGTGGTACCTATGTCCTTTTTTGACATCTTGTACAGTGTTGAACAGTTGATTGAATACACAAGTGGGCTTAAAATCCCACAGAGCCAGGCACAGGAGCCTACTGAGAGCACACAGTCATAATTTTCACATTGTTGTCCTCTCACGTAACCTGGTACTGTGCCATTTTTTATGAGAGCCTTGTCTGCACTAGTTCCTATTGGCTGGCATTTGGGTAAAGGCACAGAGGGTCCCCACTGTCAGAAGGTTGTCTCACTTGAGGAAAAGGCAGATTCATCCCCATCCTCTTGCTTGCTTCACTTCAGAGACGCACAGCAGTTCATTTCTCAGACTATCTTCGCTCAGGGAATGTGAGAGCCAAGACCTGCTCATAGTGTACACAGCAATAGCTGGGAAGGGAATACAGAATTTAATAGAATATTTGGGCCCCTGGCAGTCTCCGACTACCTCCTTCACCCCATCTACCGCCCACCCATGGTGAGTGTGCTGTCAGTGAGGCTGGCCTTCCTTTAATGAGGTTTCGTCTGATCTCAGGGAGCTCTTCCTTTTTAAAACTTGCTAGCCTGTTGCTTAAGGTGACACAAGCCTGAGGCTGGGGGTGCGTGGAAAACAGATCCACGTGCATGTCTTGGACCAGGGATGTGCAGCGTGATGTAAAGCCTCCCTCATCCTCTAACTCTCCCACACTGTCAGTCTGTTGTCTTTGGTGTCCTTGTGCTCATCGATAACTGCCTGTATTTGGCTGGTAGTGATGCCTTAATACGGTACCACAGACTGGGTGGCTTCAGTGTGAGGAATTCATTGCCTCACATTTCCAGAGGCTAAAAGTCCAGGATCAAGGTGTCAGCAGAGTTGGTTACTTCTGAAGCCTATCTCCTTGGCTTGCACGTGGCCAGCTTCTCACTGTGTCCTCCCGTGGTCACTCTTGATTTGTGTGTTCTGTGTCTTGATCTCTTCTTTTAAGGACTTCAGTCAGATTAGAGCCCATTCTCATTATCTCTCTAAAGGCTGTTTCCAAATATAGTCACATTCTGAGGTTGGGTGGGGGGGGACTTTAGCATATGAATTGAGGGGGAAGGGAAGACACAGCCCAGCCTGGAATAGTGCCTGTGGCAGGAAAGCAGCACCCTTGTGTTATTGGTACCCACATGTATTCAGGAAGGCAGGTTGGTGCTGTATAGAAAGAACTTGGGCTTTGGAGTATGGTAGGTCAGTGTTCAAGTCCTGGCTCATCTACTCATTAACTACATGGCCTTCAGATAGTGAGTACACCTCACTGAGCCTTTCTCTGAAGTCTGTAAAATGGAGCTACAAATAGGTGCTTCTGAAGTTCTGCAGTTGAAAAGAGAATTTACCATGTACCAGCTACAAGTGGAAACTCAGTACATAGCAGTCAGAAATTTCCTTCAAGTGATTATAAATTTCTAGTATAATGTACTTCACATAGTTGGTGCTTGGTAAGTGCATTTTGCTTGATTGATTATAAAATCCCTAAATACAAAAGAATGACTGCTGTTGTTTGGGTCATTTATTGTCAAGAGATTTGAAGTCCTTTGTGTGATTTTTCTGTTTCCATGCACCTTGACCAGTTTGCTTAAAACACTTAGTGAGATTTTTTTAAAATGCTAGGGACTAGATTAAGTACTCAGTATAAAGATGAATGATTCTTGGCCATTGTTCTCCAAAAGGTCCCTGGTGTTGGGTAACTTAAACACATTACTAAACCCCTGGGTTTTCTTATTGCCCCCCTCCCCTGCCTGTTTTCACTTACAGGTGAAGTGATTTCCTCTGTGAGTGAGCTACAGAGCTTAAAGGTGGAACCCTATGCAGAGAAGGCGAAGCAGCGGTCAGAAGCCAAGCACATTCTCATGCAAAAGCAGCGAGCTTTGTCAGACCTCTTTAAACACCTTGCAAAAATTGGTAAGGGTCTCACTTGAAACCCAATGAAATGTAGTCACCAACTTTTAGGAAGAGAAACAACATGACTGATTTGGGGGAAATTCCAGACAGTTGAGATGGTGGACAACAGAAAGTACAGGCAGGGTTTTGAAATGCCATTCTAAGAGTTCCACTCATGCAGGAAAATCCTACGACCAGCCAGCTGATTCCCAAATATTTCCAGTTTTGTATGAGGTTTCTCAGAATCTATATTCTTAAAATTTCCATCACCACGTGCTGTGTACCATATGCTTGCAGCATAGCATAGAGAGCAGTGCTTCTCAAACTTGAATGTGCATATGAATCACCAGGGGAATCTTGTTAAAGTGCAGCTGCTGATCCTGTTTGATTTGCTGTGGATGCAACCTGAGAGTCTCCATTTCTAACCAGCTCTCAGGTGATGCTGTTTAGAAGATTTTGCTTTGAGTAGCAGGGGAGAGCAGGCACATCTGGTCTCTACTAAGTATCTTTGTTTAAGTGAATGCGGTTTATTTCCTAGGTCTGTCATATCGCAAAGGTCTTGCATGGGCCCGTTCAAAAAATCCTCAAGAGATGCTTCATCTTCACCCGTTAGATCTCCGGAGCGCATTGTCCATCGTCAGCAACACTCAGGAGGCTGATTCGAGGTTTGTCTGGTTTCGTTGTTTTTTCCTTGCTTATAAATGGAGCAGGTAATTGAAATCCTTGGCTTCATTTGCAAAAATGGGAATAGCAGTACCACTCTGGCTACCACTTAACAAAAGTGCCTGGCTCAGGATCTGATTCCTGATGAACATTCAAATGAAAGTGTGAGGCTGGGTGCAGTTCATACCTGTAAACCCGGCACTTTGGGAGTCTGAGGTGGGCAGATCACTTGAGGTCAGGAGTTCAATACTAGCCTGACCAACATGGCAAAACCCTGTGTCTACTAAAAATAGAAAATATTAGGCAGGCATGATGGCACATGCCTATAATCCCAGCTACTCAGGAGGCTGAGGCAGGAGAATCGCTTGAACCTAGGAGGCGGAGGTTGCAGGGAGCCACGATTGTGCCACTGTACTCCAGCCTGGGTAGCAAAGTAAGACTGTCTCAAAAAAACCCATTTCTTTTCTTTCTCTTTCTTCCTTGCATTCACCTCTCCTCCTTTCTTTTTTTTTTTTTCTTTTGATTTTCCTGAGGTCTGCTCACTTCATTTGATCATACATGTGGAAATCTATGGGGAAATGGCATATTTTTAGTTGCTCTATATACATACATCCCTCATAAGTTCTAAGATGTCTTGAATTTGTGAGTCCATACGCTGTTGAGACAGGCAGAGCTACCTCTATCTACAACACAGCAGAGAGTGTTGTGAATGATGCTTTGCATGAGCTGGGTATAGTACACATTTGTGTTTTCTTTACTCAGTTGGCCCTCCCAGGGATTTAAATTTGAATTCAACAGAACATTGTAGACAGGGGAAATTTTACATAAGCATTCTGGATTTTCAGTTTTTCAAGAAAATTTGCCAAGTGGGCTTGTATCCCCAGTCAGCAGTGCTGTAGCTAAATAGTGGTTTCCTTCTATTGATAGGACACATACTCTCCAGCTTACTTGATCTCTCAGCAACCCCCGTGTCTGCCTCACATTGAGGTCAGCTGTCACTGCCATGCATCATTTTGTGCTTGGCTGTCTTTAGTTCTCTTACATTATTTGCCTGGCCCCTGTAGGCATCAGAATTTATGACCCCCTAGCCTCCACTGCCAAAAGAAGAAGGTTTCATTGAAGAAACCATATTGTCAGCATAATTTATTTCCTCATGATACTTCCAGTGCTGAGTATAAAATACATCTGTTAAGTAAAGAACTAATGAGTGCCTCACTGAATGAGTCCTCATGGAAAAAACCTATTCAGACAGCTGACTCTTGGTTATGGCCAAATACACCAATCTCTGAGTTTTAGGATCTGGGGTGGGAGAGTGTGGTTTTAATTAAGTAAATGATGTTGATATCTTTTCCAGGCTGCTCACAGAAATCTCATCTTCATGGGATGGATGCCAGAAGTATTTTTATCGCTCTCTCGCACGGCATGCCAGGCTTAACACAGCACTAGCAACTCCTGCCAAGGTAGAATGATAGAACGTGAGACTTGCAGGGGACCAGGGAAAGCTCTTATTCTGTTCATCCCAGGCCACATTCTCAGACCTTGTTAAGTGATAACAGCTTGTTAGTGGAACTGAGCTTTTTGCAGTATCCTTAAACTTAAAATATAAATCAGTGTAATTCTTTGCAAAGTCAGAGAGCATCTTTAATTCTGTTACACTTGCCAGCAGGACCAAATGTTTAAGAAAAATTAAGAAAAACCTCAAATTGAGAATGCCATGTTCAGATCTTTTTTCCCTTTGTGAATTGAGAAAAAGACCACTAATAAATGGATTTTTGGAGTTAAATCCAGTTCCTATCTATGGAATATCGATGATCTGTGCTAGCATAATTGGAGAAACACTGCTCAAAGAAAAAAAATGAATATATCACCTTTAGAGTGCATGTCTGTCACTTAACATTAGCAAGGGACTCCTCCCCTGGAAGAGTCCAGAAACAACTTTCTAGAGGCACAACTGTGGGTGGGGTTTGCCAGCAGCCCCTTCAGCATGTTTTTCCTTCTCCTGCCAGGAGATGGGCATGGGCAACGCAGAGCGGTGCAGAGGGTTCTCAGCACATTTGATGAAGATGCTTGTCCGACAGCGGCGCTCCCTGACCACGCTTAGTGAGCAGTGGATCATCCTCAGGTATCAGCTGATGAGTTGGGCTATTGGGAAGAATTGGGTCAGTCAGCTCAGAGTTGCCACATATGGGGAGAGGAATAAGACATGCTTTCAGTTGTGAAATGAATTTAAGGCCCAAAGAGGCAGGTAGGGTTTCTCCCGGCTCTGCCCCTTGCTTTAAGTGATACGCCTCTAGTGGCCCTCTCCCTCTGGGTTCTGACTATATACCTCGTGAGAATATGGAGCTGGGGAGATTTTGGGGCTGCATGAGGCAGTGAAAATTGTCATGGGTGAACTATACCTGTGTCTGGAATGAGTATATATGTTGCTGAAAGTCCATGTGGGCTGCTAGATAGGGTCATGTTCATGGTATTAGGGTGTCCCAGTCTCGGGCACAGATGAGATTTGAGTCTGCTTCTGTTACTTAAGCTTTTGTGATCTGCTGAGTCATACATGGAGGCTCCTCAATGGAAACAGATAATTAAGACATGAGGACAGTTAGGAAGGTTGTCGTCATCTGTTGAATAGATTCGTAGCTGAGAGATAGTACTTCCAGACTATTCACTCTAGCTTCAGGTATTTCCTGCTCCATTCATTAGGGTTTATGTAGCAAAGTACAGTATATTTACTAGATAATCCTAGTTGAAGTCTCTGTAGTGGTGTGATTGTGTTGTGATGCTTTTCTTGAAAGACTGAGGGATGGGTTTAAGTACTTTGGGTGGCATTTTAACAGACTTCTTACCTATCTGGGAGATTCTTCCTTCTTGACTATATGGAAAAGCCCAGGCTTGTTCAGAAACACAAATTTCTTTTAAAACAATATAGTAACATGGTTTAAGGTGCCATTCATTGTGTTTTTCCCATGGGTTTCTCTGTATAGGAACCTCCTCAGCTGTGTGCAAGAAATTAATAGTAGACTGACGGGACCCCTGGCCTACCCCGTGGCCTTTCCTCCTCAGGATGGCGTGCAGCAGTGGACTGAGCGCCTGCAGCACCTGGCCATGCAGTGCCAGATCCTGCTCGAGCAGCTCTCCTGGCTCCTCCAGTGCTGCCCCAGTGTGGAGCCAGCTCCAGGCCATGGCAATGCCCAGGCGTTGGGTCATCCTCCTGCCCCCTGCCCTAAAGGACCAGAACTTAGCAGCAGACAACTTTGTGGAGTAATGCAAGACCTAATTCCCTCCAGTCTGAGCTACCCATCTCCAGTTCCTGGAATTCAGCTGCCCTTTGGTTGCCGGATGCGGAAACAGGATCAGCTTTGGCAACAGTCAACTATGAGATTAACAGAGATGCTAAAAACCATTACAACAGTGAAAGCTGACATTGACAAAATTAGGCAGCAGTCTTGTGAGACTCTCTTTCATTCTTGGTACGTGAGTCTGTCTTTTCACTCTTCTCTGTGTGCTTAGGTTCTTATTGTGCTTATCTAAATTGGGGATGGGAAGGGAAGGGTGTTAACAGAAAGCAGCAGCTGTTAGACAGCCTTGGAGTCTAGGGAACTCAGTCGGTTTAGGGTATGGGGTGGGGAGGGGATAGGGAGTGTCATCCGCAGGTTCTAGAGACTTTAGTGGAAACAGCCTTAGCAAAAAGATGCCAGACAAAGCCCTAAATAATCCTCAAGGAGAGCAAATCACATCCTACTGTTTGTGGTGGTCCAAAACAAAAGCCTATTGCACCAAAGACTAATGATAATGGAATATCATTAGTCTTAATGGAATAAGTTTAGTAATTTATTTAGTAATTTATTCCATTACTAAACCTAAGTGTTTAGTATTTTATTCCATTATTAAACCTAGGTGTTTATTAATTTATTTGATTACTAAACCTAGGTGTTCAGTAATGGAATAAAATTATGAAAAGAATTGTGCTTCAGTCCTGTGTTACTCAGTGGACCTGCACAGCACTTTGTGGCATGTGTTCAGCTGTAAGCTTCAGATAGGGTGTGTTCTACCTTGCATACATTGTAGTGGTTGGAGGGAGGGGTGTGTGTTTGTGGGGACTGTAGTGCATTCTTTTCAACATTGTGGCATTTCTGTTGCAGGAAAGATTTTGAAGTTTGCTCTTCTGCACTGAGTTGCTTGTCCCAGATGTCAGTTCATTTGCAGGGCCTAGAGTCCTTGTTCATTCTTCCAGGGATGGAGGTTGAGCAAAGAGACTCACAGATGGCACTAGTTGAAAGTCTGGAATATATAAGAGGAGAAATTAGTAAAGCCGTGGCTGACTTTACCACCTGGAAGACACATTTACTTACTTCAGGTAGCCAAGGAGGTAAGGAATATTGTTCAGTCAGGGAATAAAAGCCCAGTACAGAAATGATGTCTTGCAGATGTAAGTCTCATTATCCTAAAGACATATTATGTTTTGGTCTACATGTACCTGTCCAGGGTTCTGAGGCAGGGAGATGCGGTTGAAATCCACAGGTCTTAACTTTTGCCCCATTTGTTTGAATGCCTGCTACATACTCTGTAGTACACATAGGAAGGCAGCACAAACTCACTGTCTGTTAGTTTTCCCTTAGATTAAAAAAGCTTGGAGCTGATGTTTGGACTAAGTTAATGTTCATACTGTCTTAACAGTTATTTTTATATTTTTTTACATTGTTTTAGTAAAATTGTTTTAATACAAGGTAATAAACTTGTAGGTTTATCGAGGCAAGGAATTTGTCTCTTTTCTTTTTATCTGGCACAGCTTGACAAGTAGCTCATCAGTAAATGAGTATTTTTAATGATTTCCAGACGGACTAAACCAAATGATTGGTGTCTTTCATTTATATGTTTGTTTTGCACCCTGTTACTTACTAGGAAATCAAATGTTGGACGAAGGGTTTGTGGAAGATTTTTTCGAGCAAATGGAAACTGCCATCCGAGCCATCCTCTGTGCCATTCAGAACTTAGAAGAAAGAAAGAATGAAAAAGCAGAAGAGAACACTGACCAAGCAAGCCCACAAGAAGAGTGTGGTATGTCTGAGATCAGGCAGAAATTACTTTCATGCCTGATTTAATTTTTGTATTTGATGATTTATTTCTGTGGCTAAATAGTTAAGGGTGAATGTTAGAAACAGATGTCTGCATGAATAGAGATGAAAGGATTTGTTTTCTGTTATTCATCATGTTATTTTCTCTGAATGAATGGGCAGCAGGCTTTGAGAGACTGCAGTCAGGACATCTAACAAAACTCTTAGAGGATGACTTCTGGGCCGATGTGAGCACTTTACATGTGCAGAAAATAATTTCTGCCATCTCTGAGCTGTTGGAGAGGCTGAAATCGTACGGTGAGGATGGCATAGCAGCAAAGCACCTGGTAAGTAACTGTTCCTTACAAGCTTTTTCCAATGCACTGAGCAAAGGCAGAGTGGGCGTCACCTCACTCCATGTGGTTAAGTCCCAGAGCAGGCCTCAGTGCCACCATCACCAAAAACTTGGTATCTTTATTTATATGTGCAAAGTCATTGACAAGCTTTGAAAAGCTTAGGGCTTGCTAGCTAATTGTAAGATGCATAAGTGCAAAACTGGTAAGCATTCAGAATATCCATTATATTAGGATTCTTTCATATCTTACATACTCCCAAGTATTTAATGTTAATGATAGATGATGTTATCAACTGAGGCTTAGCGGTCACCTTCTGTAAACACCATTTCCACTACAGTAAGCCAACAGAGTAAGTAGTTGTAGTCTCTGCAGTAAGTCCAGAGAAGCAACTTACTTTGTACGGCATTGTATGTTATTCTATAGCATTGCCTCTAGTGCTAACTTTGAATCAGCAATAGAATTTATTTATAAACATTATTTTTTTTGTTTTTTATTTTTTTATTTTTTGGGACGGAGTTTCGCTCTTTTTACCCAGGCTAGAGTACAATGGCGCGATCTCGGCTCACCGCAACCTCCGCCTCCTGGGTTCAGGCAATTCTCCTGCCTCAGCCTCCTGAGTAGCTGGGATTACAGGCACGCACCACCATGCCCAGCTAATTTTTTGTACTTTTAGTAGAGACGGGGTTTCACCATGTTGACCAGGATGGTCTCGATCTCTTGACCTCGTGATCCACCCGCCTCGGCCTCCCAAAGTGCTGGGATTACAGGCTTGAGCCACCGCGCCCAGCCCTACTTTATTTTTTATTTAATTTTTATTTTTTAATTTATTGTACAAGGTCTCATTCCATCTCACATACACAAAAAAAGACAGGGCGTGGTGGCTCATGCTTATAATCCCAGCACTTTGGGAGGCCAAGGCAGGTGGATCACTTGAGGTCAGAAGTTCAAGAACAGCCTGGCCAACATGGTGAAACCCTGTGTCTACTAAAAATACAAAAAAATTAGCCAGGCATGGTGGCGCACACCTGTAATCCCAAGTACTTGGGAGGCTAAGGCAAGAGAATCACTTGAACCTGGGAGGCGGAGGTTGCAGTGAGCCAAGATCGAGACTTTGCACTCCAGCCTGAGTGACAAGAGCAAAACTCCATCTCAAAAAAAAAAAAAAGAATGTAAAATTTTCATACATAAAAAGTTATTTTATTTTATTTTACAAGGTCTCATTCTGTGGCCCAGGCTGGAGTGTGGTGGCATGATCACGGCTCACTGTGGCCTTCACCTTCTGGGCTCAGGTGATCCTCCCACCTCAGCCTCCCAGGTAGCTGGCACTATAGGCATGCAACACCATACCCAGCTAATTTTTAAAGTTTTGAAGAGATGGAGTCTGGCTATATGTTTTTTTGGTTTGGTATTTTTTTTGTAGAAATGGGGTTCACCACATTGCCCAGGCTGGTCTTGCACTCCTGGGCTCAGGCAGTCTACCCACCTTGGCCTCCCAAAGTGCCTGGCCAACATTCTCTTTTTTAAAAACCAACATTGTGAGCCAAAGGAGACGTCAGTCTGAGAATTTAAAGTGTACTTTTGTGATGATTTATGTAAATGAAGAAATCTCAGTGAGCTGTGTGTATTAGGGTGGGATGGGGGTTACAAACACATACATGTAACTTGCCATTAGTACTAGTTAGTGCATTCACAATGTTGTGCAATTACCACCACTATCTAGTTCCAGAACGGAAACCTGGTACCCGCCAAGCAGTGTGAGCTGGGCTTTTGTTTTGTTTTGATCTCAGTTCTTCAGCCAATCCTGTTCCTTGCTGGTGCGCCTCCTGCCGGTCCTCTCCAGCTACTCAGACCTTGTCCTCTTCTTCCTGACCATATCTTTGGCAACTCACCGTAGTACTGCGAAGCTGCTCTCTGTGCTTGCCCAGGTCTTCACGGAGCTTGCCCAGAAGGTAAGGACTGTTCACATGGTGCACTGTGAGCAGCAGGGACCCAAGTAAATTTCCTATCATTAGTCTCTGGTGAGATAGGGTTTTAGCAAGATGTGATTTGCTCTCCCTGTGGATTATTTAGGGCTTCATCTGGCATCCTTTTGCTAATGCAGTTTCCACTAAAGTCTCAGAACCTGCAGATGACACCCCCTATCCTCACCCCACCCCATCCTCCAAACCGATGAGTTCCCTAGACTCCAGGGCTAACAGCTGCTGCTTTCTGTTAATACCCTTCCCATCCCCAATTTAAATCTTCAGATAACTCTTGAACTAGAGTTGTAGGATAAACCCTTAAGGCCACTAAATTTTCTTTTAACTATGTAGGTGTAATTATGATTAAATGATAATGGGACTATTAGTATTAGAGGTTTTTTCTTTAGCAGGGAAATCATTTGTTCATTCAGCCATGTACCCAGTACTATGAAAAGCACTGAGGTTGTAGAGATTGCAGACCCTCCCCTTAAACTCAGGGACAGTAGACAGTGAAATCTAAGAGCAACGTTGGTGTGGGTAGGTCTAGTCATAGAGGTATCCAGCTGTCAGTCTCTCCTAACCTCTCCAAGCCTCAATTTCCTCATTTGTAAAATGAGATCTGCCTATACTCGTAAGCATTTTTGTGAGAATGAGAACCAACCTGCATTTGAGTATATGAGTTCTGTTTTTCTTCCTTAGCAGTCTAAGATTTTCTCCAAGCTAAGTACAGATGAGATGTACCTGAGGAAGATAGGAATTTACAAACTGAAGATAGGATCTGGATTTCTTATAAACAGTTAAAAGTTTTTAGTTATGAGTCTCTAAAATACTGGAAAGGGTGAAAAGTGGAAGCCAAGCCTAATGCCTTGTATCAAGAGGATAAATATGTTTATCGGCTGTATAAGAAGTAAAAGAATGAGTCTCATGTTTGTCCTCTCTGATGGGCATCAAGCCAATCTTAACATTCCATTCTTCTTGGAATAACACTGTATGCCAACGACAGTGGCAGGAAAATGTATGGTACGGGTGCCTTGAGATTTGGCTCAGCTAGATCTGTCCATTTGCACCATAACTGTTGTCTGACAGGCTGTAGAATGACGTTGGCCTTTCAGACCTTTGTCTGTTTTGGGAAGAATGGCTCTGATATGTGCAGAATGTTGGGAGCCCGGTGGCTATCCCAGATGTAACTACTGCAGTGATATGCTCTGGTAAGGGCATCTGAAACTGCCTCCTATGCAGTCTTATTCTTCGCCTATATATGAATGTCTCTCTTTTAAATAATGTAGTTCAATGCAAAAATTAAGCAAATAAGCCAAACTATTTTCCAATCTATGTCCTAAAACTGTCTAAGTGTCCAAATTGTATTCATATCCTTTCTGAGTAGTTCCGAGGGAACTTGAAAGTAGGTTAGACAGTGCTCAGATAATAGATCTAGGTTGTAATTAAAGCTCTTGATCCACAGGAAGCTGTTTCTGTGTAAGCAAGTCATAATTAGTGTTTACTGGTTTTGGATCTTAATTCCTTGCTAATTATCAGCTTTTTAAAGTGCATTCTCATCCTCAGGTTGACAAACATCTTCATAGTATATATTTTCTCTTACAAAACTAAAATTTCTGATTGAGAGTCACTACTACTTTTTCTTTTTACTTCTGTTCAGGGGGCTAGTATTCTTCTCAGGTTATTTTCATGTATAAAATAGTTTTGTTGAACATTTCTTTTTTTTTTTTTGAGACGGAGTTTCACTCTT